TGTGTGTGTGTGTTTGTGTCTGTATGTGTGTGTCTGTCTCTGTCTGTGTGTGTGTGTGTCTGTATGTCTATGTCTGTCTCTGTGTCTGTGTGTGTTTGTGTCAGTATGTCTGTGTCTGTCTCTCTGTGTGTGTGTGTGTGTCTGTATGTCTGTGTCTGTCTCTGTGTCTATGTGTGTGAGTGTGTGTGTGTGATGTAGGACTTTACTTTCCACTGTAAGGACTGGGCTTTATTTGGAGTAATTTGGGATGTCATTGACATACTTTCACTAGGAAAGTTGCACAAATGCCTTACAGTTTAGCAGACTCTCTGCAAATGCTGTGACAATAGACTCAAGGGTTGAAGGATAGAAGCTGGGAGACCGGGGAAGAGGCTCCAATAACCCATCGGAGAGAGGAGGGTGGCTGGGACTGGGGTGGTTTTGGTGGGGGTGGGAAGAGCGAATTAGATTCTGAGAAACACTGAGGATACGGCCAAAGGGCTTTCTGATGGTTTGGACCTAAGGAATTAAAGAAATAGAGAAATTAAAAATGGTCCCAGGATTTTTGACCTGAACAAAATAAAGACTAAAGAACATCTCACGTTGCCATGATCTTTCCTTTTTTTTTTTTTTTTTTTTTTTTCCCCCGAGATGGAGTTTCGCTCTTGTTGCCCAGGCTGGAGTGCAATGGTGCGATCTTAGCTCACCGCAACCTCCGCCTCCCGGGTTCAAGTGATTCTCCTGCTCAGCCTCCCGAGTAGCTGGGATTACAGGCGTGCGCCACCACACCCAGCTAATTTTGTATTTTTAGTAGAGAAGGGGTTTCTTCAGGTTGGTCAGGCTTGTCTTGAACTCCCAACCCCAGGTGATCCACCCGCCTCAGCCTCCCAAAGTGCTGGGATTACAGGTGTGAGCCACTGTGCCTGGCTTGATCTTTCCTTTTTGTAACACATGTAAATGATCTCTTGGGCATGAAATAGTCCAAGGCCTGTTAGAGACAGTGGACCAAACCCACGTGACCCCAGCTATGTGGAAAGCCTGGGCTTTGCTGGCTGAAGGAGAATCGTCCAACAGTCCTGGGGCACATGGAATGATCCCATTTCTACCCTCTGGGTTTGGACGTGCATGAATAACCATGTGGAGTCCAATTCCAGAGCTGGCAGAGGTCCTGTCACCTGTGTCACAGGAAGACGAGAGTGTCCTCCTGCATGTCTTGGAGCATATGCTGTTGAACGGAAGAATTTGGAGCACAATAGAGACATGTCCCTCAGTCTCATAATTTCTCTGTGTTCTCAGGTGACTGTGAATGACTAAGCCATGGGAAGATGGTGAACCAATCATACACAGATGGCTTCATCCTCGTGGGCATCTTTTCCCACAGCCAGACTGACCTTGTCCTCTTCTCTGCAGTGATGGTGGTCTTCACAGTGGCCCTCTGTGGGAACATCCTCCTCATCTTCCTCATCTACATGGACCCTCAACTTCACACCCCCATGTACTTCTTCCTCAGCCAGCTCTCCCTCATGGACCTCATGTTGGTCTGTAACATTGTGCCAAAGATGGCAGCCAACTTCCTGTCTGGCAGGAAGTCCATCTCCTTTGTGGGCTGTGGCATACAAATTGGCCTCTTTGTCTCTCTTGTGGGCTCTGAGGGGCTCTTGCTGGGACTCATGGCTTATGACCGCTATGTGGCCATTAGCCACCCACTTCACTATCCCATCCTCATGAATCAGAAGGTCTGTCTCCAGATTACTGGGAGCTCCTGGGCCTTTGGGATAATCGATGGAGTGATTCAGATGGTGGCAGCCATGAGCTTACCTTACTGTGGCTCGAGGAACGTGGATCACTTCTTCTGTGAGGTGCAAGCTTTATTGAAACTGGCCTGTGTAGACACTTCCCTCTTTGATACCCTCCTCTTTGCTTGCTGTGTCTTCATGCTTCTCCTTCCCTTCTCCATCATCGTGGCCTCCTATTCTTGCATTCTAGGGGCTGTGCTGCGAATGCGCTCTGCTCAGACCTGGAAAAAGGCTCTGGCCACCTGCTCCTCCCACCTGACAGCTGTCACCGTCTTCTATGGGGCAGCCATGTTCATGTACCTGAGGCCTAGGCGCTACCGGCCCCCCAGCCATGACAAGGTGGCCTCCATTTTCTACACGGTCCTTACTCCCATGCTCAACCCCCTCATTTACAGCTTGAGGAACCAGGAGGTGATGGGGGCACTGAGGAAGGTGCTGAACCGCTGCAGGATTGGCAGCCAGCACTGAACCCCAGAGTCTGGTGCCTGCTGTGCCACTTCTTGCCTGTGTCACATTTTGCTAAGTCACTCAACCCTTGTGAGTGTCTGCTTCCATTCACCTGTTGATGGTCACTGGGTGGTTTATAGGTTTTGGCCATTGTAAGAAAAGCCACTATGAACATTCCTGTACCAAAAAGAAAAAGAAAAAAGAAAAAAATCATGACAAGTGCACTCTGAGGGATTTTGTAAAGATCACAATGTGTCAATCTAAAGCTCCATGAAGAAGCAGTGCCTTGCTATTATTGTCATTGTGGATTGTTTATAACATCCTTGGACTAAATTTACTCTATTTTTTATTTTCTTTATTTTATTTTTTGTGTGTTTCTGCTGTTTAATGCTATATTTCTTAATTCTTGGCAATAGCGGTCTTTTATCAGATGCGTGCTAAGTTCTAGGTTCCTGTTCCTTTTCTATTCTTTCTAAATTATTTAATTGATGACTTAGGCTAACAAATGTGGATATCTTAAGTGGAAACTTTCTAAATGGCAGAAATTGAGTCCATATAACTCTTCTTGGACAGTTCTTTGCCTTTTTCTGTGTTCAATTAGAGGCTTTATACCTCCTTTAAGTAATAAAAATAAGTCCCTGCAGTTTAGTAGTTATCCTCGCAGGGAGAATATCTTGTTTTCTGTGTGTCATGAAAGGAAAATATCTTGGACCCCCAAAATCACTCGGATAAAGGGAGAACTCAGGCTGGGAACGGCTCAGGGCAAACCTGCTTCCCATTCTATTCAAAGTCACCCTCTGCTCCCTGAGACAGATGCATCTTCTGATGGCCTCCTTTGGAGAGGCTCGTCAGAAACTCGGAGAATGCAAGCACTTGTCTCCCACCTACCTGTGACCTGGAAGCCCCCTCCCTGCTTCGAGTTGTCCCCACCTTTCTGGACGGAACCAGTGTATTTCTTACATGTATTGATTGATGTCTCATGTTTCCCTAAAATGTATAAAACCAAGCTGTGCCCCGACCACCTTGAGCACGTGTCGTCAGGACCTCCTGAGGCTGTGTCATGGGTGCATCCTCCACCTTGGCAACATAAACTTTCTAGATAAACTGACACCTGTCTCAAATGTTGGGGTTCACAGTGTATTAACAGTACCAGACCCTGTGCCTTATAAATAGCAGTTGCTCAATAAAACATTATTGAATGAATGCAAGAAGAGAGCATCAAGTGAGGTAATATAAACGGAAGCATTTAAAAACTTGACACTGTTCACATGTCAAGTTTGCTGTGGCAGCTGTGATTCATTTTAGTACCTCAAGTTTTTTAACAGTTTAAAACTGTCTCTCTCTTGGAGGATGAAGACTGGAAGAGAAATAAGGAGAGAAACTGAGTCATTATTTTGAAACTTATTATCAGTCAGGGTCCATTTAGGAACAAAATCACATCAGTTATTTTAACAGAAAGTTTAATGTAAAGAATTGCTGGCCGGGCCTGGTGGCTCACGCCTGTAATCCCAGCACACTGGGAGGCTGAGGCAGGAGGATCATGAGGTCAGGAGATCGAGACCATCCTGGCTAACACGGTGAAACCCTGACTCTGCTAAAAATACAAAAAATTAGCCGGGCATGGTGGTGGCACCTGCAGTCCCAGCTACTCAGGAGGCTGAGGCAGGAGAACGGCGTGAACCCGGAAGGCGGAGCTTGCAGTGAGACCAGATCGCGCCACTGCACTCCAGCCTGGGCAACAGAGCAAGACTCCATCTCAAAAAAAAAAAAAAAAAGGAAGAAGAATTGCTGGCCAGGCATGGTGGCTCACGCCTGTAATGCCAGCCCTTTGAGAGGCTGAGGCAGGGGGATTACTTGAGGCCAGGAGTGCAAGACCAGCCTGGTCCTAGCTACTGTAGTCTGAGCTACTTGGGAGGCTAAGGAGGGAGGACGGCTTGAGCCCAGGAGTTCAAGGCTACAGTCAGGCAGGGCTGCACCACTGACTGCACTCCAGCCTGGGTGACAGCGAGACCCCATGTCTAAAAAACACAAAAATTAAATAAAATTGCTAACCAGATATTGGAGAAGTGAATGGCCAAAACCAGAACACTAGGGATCCCTGGAGCTCAAACATCCGGGGGCTCACAGTGACCACGGCGTTCCGAGCTCAGCAGAGACCCTGGAGAGGCGTCTCCCAGGCCTTGGAGGGCTGCCTGGCCCTACCCTGTGGTACCTCCGGAGCACGGGGGAGAAGCAGCAGCGTCCAAAGCTGGGCCCAGGCTCCCGAGGAGCAGCTGCTGTGTGGTTGCTCCTGACACTCTAGGTGTTCAGAGGAGGGCCTCAGGTCCCGGCTGCTGAAGTGTGGGGGCCGGTCGGCTGGTGCTTGTTTTCCTAAGGGCAGGATGAGACGAGTACCAGAAGTGTGAAAGCAAAATCTGCAAAGTGGAGCCAGCTTCCAGGATGAAGAAACATTGCTAGGACGATTTGGACAGGAGAACACAGGACGTCATGAGGACTGGTTTCTTTCCCCTCTTGCTGGCTGACAGCCTCCTTCTAGTGCCCCTCCTGGCAGAGCCTGACGGGGTCCTGACAGCAGAGCAGCCCCAGCGTCACAACTCAGAGGACAGGAGTGTGGGCTGTGGGCTGAGGCAATGGCTTAAAAACGGGTGCAGGACCCTCCCGTGGCCATTCAGTGTCCACACAGCATTTCACTCGCATCTGAACTTCCATTAAACAGCAGGGACATTTTGCTTTTCCTAAGAACGTGTTGGTGTCCACACAACACTGGCCTTCAGCAGCCATGGCACCGCCTGTGGGCACTGTCATCCCTCATGTACAGTCACGATCTTGACTGAATGGCAGCCTCCACTACCGAGGTATGTAAAACGATAAGAGGACAGAGAGAGGACAAATTAGCTTCCGCACAGGGACACACACACCCCCCAACATGGCAATTGATCTTGAAGACATCATTGGAATTTAGAACCTTCTTCTTCATTTTTGATTCCCTGTGTCTTTTGCCCCCATCTTTCCAGGGTCTGGTTTCTGAACTGACACCTGAAAGAATTAGTGTCATAATGAGAACACCTGCTTCTGGGCAACGGAATAACACAGGACCTGTCAGCTCCACAGACACCAGCCCGTCACTGCCCTTCTCCTGCTAGAAAAGAAGTTCCTTGATCAGAGGCGATGCTATGCAGAGTCCTCGGAGTATCTGAGGCGCTCTGCGGACAGATGGCGGTGCTGTGAGATGTGAGCGGGCAGGGAGGGCGTTCTGCGCACAGATGGCGGTGCTGTCAGATGTGCGCGGGCAGGGAGGGCAAATTCAAATCTAGACAAGGTGTCCATTGCAGTGAGGTCAAATTGCCACGCCGTTCATGACAAAAGGGATCCGATCTAAAAACCTGCTTCTAGGAGGCTGGTAGCAAAAGGAAAGGTGCCATGTTGGGGCCCAGAATAAGTTTCTGCTGATGGAAGATTGGCCACTCAGTGGTGGTGGTAACCAGGTCAGCTTGGTGAGGGTACAACCGTGTTGGTGCACCTACGCATAACCTCTGTCCCTATAACCGTGACCACGTTGTCCACAGTCCATTGAGCAAGCATCCGAGCTGTTCCATAAAACGTGATGTTCTGTGGCATGTGAAGTTGGTTAAGTTCTCTGTAGATTATATTATGCAGGAGGAGAAATGACGGAGTTCTGAGGCAAGATTGTTGAGATGCACTGTTGTGGCCCTGGAATGTACACAGCCGCTTTTTGTGGTCCTTGCAACTTGTTACAGAGAAAAAAATACTTTTTCATATCAATAAGTGCATATTAGGGCCAGGCGTGGTGGCTCACACGTGTAATCCCAGTACTTTGGAAAGGCCAAAGCAGGTGAATCACTTAAGGTCAGGAGTTCGAGACCAGCCTGGCCAATATGGTGAAACCCTATCTCTACTAAAAATACAAAAATTAGCCGGGCATGGTGGTGGCAGGCACCTGTAATCCCAGCTACTCTGGAGGCTGAGGCAGGTGAATTGCTTGAACCCGGAAGGCGGAGGTTGCAGCGAGCAGAGAGTGGACCATCGCACTCCAGCCTGGGCAACAGAAAGAGACTCTATCTCAAAACAAACAAACAAACAAACAAAAACCTGAATATTATGTATAAAAGGCTATGCTGATTTGTTCCAGTAAGGATGAGCACGTCTGTAACAGCCACTGTGGTTTGAGTCACCATCTGATTAACTGCACAATAATGCACAATAATTTTCCATCTGGGTCATGGGTGACAATTAATTTTAGAATTATCTTTAAATGAATATATACGTCAGTCTTCTCAACCTTCACCCAGATGCACCTGTAATCATCTACTAGAGCAACCATGCATAGGAGAAGAAAAAATATTCAAAGCTTTTAGGAATTAAAATTATTCTCTATTGACTTTTTCAAAAAAAGACCACCTGGAGAACCTGCTGATCAAACAAGGCAGTAAAGGTAAACACCACCATGACCACATTTTAGCAGTATTTCAGCAGTGGAAAATCAAGGGTAGATGTGTAGGAGTGTTAGAATCTGGATTTGAGAAGCTGGAAGTGGCTTGGTGGGCATGAGACGTGAGGAGTCTTAATGAGAAAACAGTTGCCTGATAAGCAGTATTCTGGTTTTGTGCCACCACACTCCAGCCTGGGTAACAAAGCGTGACCTTGTCTCAAAAACAGACAAACAAATTACAAGATTACAGGTGTGAGCCATCCTCCCCAGCTGAAACTTAAAATATTTTAATTTTTACAGATTGGGTCTCCGTCTGTTGCCCAGGCTGGAATGCAGTGGTGCAGTCATAGCTCTCTGCAGCATCAGACTCCTGGGCTCCAGCGATCCTCTCACCTCCACCTTCAAAGTAGCTGGAATTACAGGCATGAGCCACCATGCCTAGCTTAAAACAATTTTTCATATTTGCACAGGCAGGAAACATTGACCTACCTGATTGGAGTGAAGATTTGTCACATGTATGACGCAAAATCTCCCCATAAGTTGAATGAACAACTTGATGGGAGAAGATTTGGTAAGGAAGTTGGGGGGAAAAGAAAAAGAAACTGGCCTGTGCGTATTTTAAACCATTATTATAGAAAATTTCAGGCACACACAAAAGGGAAGCAAGTATCACAAAGTCCCATGTCGCCTCACACGCAAAAGGTTCCCAGTTCAAAACCAGGCAGAAACGGCTCC